AAGTAAGCTGCCAGATCTGGGACTCAAACCGTGGTCGGCCATGTGGGAGTGCAGCACCCTTAACCACCATGCCACCCCCAGTAATGAAATTATTATATAATGTTGGGTGGGCTTCTAGTCCTCAAAAATCTGATTAAGCTCTTATACTCTCAGAAGAAGTGTATCCGATCCAGTTGTACCGCACTTTCATAAGGTGATATTTTTAACATCTGGTTTTGTGAGAAATTGAGCATCAAAACTGTTAAGAAGAGATCATGGTGGTGGGGGGAGCTTTGGTCCAATTTCCCTCCCCTGGCAGAACTAGTGGAGGACTCGAGGAAATTAGAACTACCAGAGTGAGACAAGGGGTCACAGCATCACAGAAGCCATATGAGACTCGAGTTCATAATGAAGGATATGACTGTCTCAGATATGAAAACCAAGAAGAAATGATTTCGTTCATCCAAGAAACAGGAGCACAAAGACTTCAGGGGGGTGGTTTAGGTGAGGATACCTGCTGAGGGCATCGAGGGGAAAGGCTGCAAGATGCACATTTGAGAAGCTTAATTATGGAATACATGATGAGAGGGAGGTGAGCTAATGGAAGATGTGCTACATGCAAGAGTAGTCCACGTAGAGAAGACTTGAGCATGTTTCAGAGGCAGAAAAAAAAAAGAAGGTGATCAAATTGAACCACTTACTCTGATCATTAAAAATCTAAAGGCCACATGTTTGACTCATTTAGGTCATCTGTGTTTTGTCCCTCAGATAGAAAAACAGCTGAATGTGAGGACGTTTCATGAGTGGACCAGTTCTTCTAACCTGGTGGAAAGAGAAGTTGAAGTCCACATCCCCCGATTCAAACTTGAAATCAAGTATGAGCTAAACTCCCTGTTAAAATCCCTAGGGATGACAGATATCTTTAATGAGGGCAAAGCTGATCTTTCTGGAATATCGCCTGCCAAGGGCCTGTATTTGTCAAAGGTCATCCACAAGTCATATGTGGATGTCAATGAAGAGGGCACTGAGGCAGCGGTGGCCACAGGGGACATCATTGCTGTCAAAAGACTCCCCTTCCGAGCTCAGTTCCTGGCGAATCACCCATTCCTGTTTTTTATAAGGCACATTCACACCAACGTGATTCTCTTCTGTGGCAAGTTTGCCTCTCCATAAACAGATGAGGCTGATCAAAGCTCAGAGTCACAAAGGTGGTCCAGGGACAAACTCCATGGCCAAAATGTGCATCATACCTTACTCACCTCTACTTCGGTTTGCTCCTTTGCAAAACAAGTAGAGGATTTCTTACAACTTAATCTGTGAGTTGGCTAACTTAAGTCTGTATTAATCATGGAAGAAGGTACATTTATATAAAATTTTGCCTTTCTTGTCTTTGGGGCCTCATATGAATGCTGTCTTGGTGACCTGATTGAGTCAATGAGGAAAATTTTTAAAGGATTAGATTTTCTGTCTTGTATATATCAGAAAGAGCTTGAATAAGTGGCTGCTCTGCCTTCAGAAAACTGGCTTAATTAAGGCTTCGACTTGGGTTGTATTTTTAAGTATAGTTTTTGGTGCATGTGTAAATATAACATTGTGAATTTTAATTCAAAATTCTGTATCTATCATAATAAATAAATTAAATGTCTTAAGCTTTTTAAAGACTTATAATACACTGCTGTAATTAAAAGACTTACACAAGGTTATTTGAATAAGAAGTCTAATTCAATTCAGTAAACATTTGAGTGGAATTTATGGTCAAGTCTTTGTTAGGTACTAAATTAATTAATAGATTTCTTTCTCTTTCAAAAAATAATGCAGTGATCACAACTTCAGAACACCAACAGACAGAAGTCAGTAAGAATATTTTTATTTGAAAAAAAGCCTCCAGGGGCCAGACTGTGGGCTGGTGGATAAAGTGGCTGGATCCCACATGGCTGACTGCGTGGTTCAAGTACTGGACTCCGCAGCTTGAAAAATATGCAGGCTCATGTGCGTGCCCAAAATCCTGAAAGGAGGGAGAAATGGAAAGGGATTGTGGCATGACCATTCCTCATGGGGGATGCTTTCCTTGGTTTCTTTCTCTGACTTTCTCCAACAAGCACACTTTGGCAAAAATTGGAAAACAAAACACAACAAAAAACAAGAGCCTCCTTATATTCAACATGGAACAATAATCAGATAACAGTGGCCACAATGCAATTACTGTCTTTGCCAGGGCTCTCTTGGTGAATTACTTACGGCCTGGATTCTTTCAGAGGCCTGAGCAGAACTGAGGAGCTCCCTGACTGCGTGACGCTCACCCACGTTATAAAGGGTAGCAATGCACTTTTCTCAAAGTGAGCTGATTAACAGGTAATTCTCATTTTAAAATACCTTCACAATAACAGTCAGACTGGTGGTTGACCTAATATCTGGGTACCATGACCCCTACAAGTTGACAAAGAATTCACTAACTTTTGGCTGAATGTGGTAATCCCAGTTAGTTGGGAAGTTGAGTCTGTAGGATCATGAGTTCGAGTTCAGCCTCAATGATATAGAGAGACCATGTCTCTCAAAAAAATAACTATCACAAATACCATGTGATGTGTGTGGGAGATGAATTCAGGCTATTTTTACACCTTATTAAAAAATACTTATTTACTTACATTTTAATTTGCCAGAGGACATGCATGCTCACCAGAGAGAGAGAAAAGAGAAAGAGGAAAAGAGAAAGAGAAAGAAAGCACTCCCATGGGGCATGGTCATGCTGTAAGCCCTTCTCCTCCATTTCTCTATCCTGTGAAGATTTTGAGCACACATGCACACACACACACACACACACACACACACACACACACGGAGAATTTTAACCAAATGATTGGACATGTGAGATCTACTCCTTCAACCACTAGGTCATGGGCTGGTCCTGTTTTCACTTGTTCAAAGAGTTAATGGAAATCCCACATCTACCAGCGTAAACTATGCACCAACCATGAGGACTCATGGAATTTAATCACAAAGGTATCCTTGCGGTTGTCTCCTTTTATCCCTATGAAGCTGCCTGGTGGGGGAGATCCTTCCTAACCCTGGCAAGAGATAGCTCTGGCAGTCCTGACTTTCTAGTTGCACTTAACATCTAGATAGCCTGTGACTGATTCACAAACATGGTTTCAATTCAGTAATTAAACATATTTAGGGCCAAACATTAATCTAAGGACCTAGTATTCTAAGCATGGTCTGGGGACCAGAAATACCAGCCTCATTTGGCAGCTTGTTACAAACAGACGTGCAGAGCCTAGGTTTGTTCCAGACATACTGACTTAGGACCTGCAGTTTAGCGAGATCTCCAGGTGACCTTCACACCAGTGCTCACCCTCCTGCTGTTCCGGTCTCCTCAGGGGTTATGAGGGGGTGTGATAGTGTTGCTGGTCGTCACACTCTGGACCTGGCCTTTGGCTCATGGGAGCTATTGGTGAGTCTCTGGACCAGGCTCCTGTGCGCCTTCCAATAGCAGAGCCCTTCCTTTGAGTGGGCTGCTGGGCTTGAGTGGGTCATTCCACAGCACTAGTGATGAAATCCCCTTGCTTTTTCGGTAGGATCCCTTTATCCTGTTTTGTAGTTTATTACATTTTTTTTCTTATTTTTTAATATCTTGCATTAGATTAGTAGAATGCTCAGTTGTTATTTCTTTTTATGTGTGTGTGTGTGTGTGTGTGTGTGTGTGTGTGTGTGTATACATATATGTAATTTTCTACAGTGTTGTCCTGGCTACAGAGCCTGATCCCATTACAGCTTAGTCTGGAGGGTTTGTAGGGTGTATCCAGATTAGTTTACTAGGAGCTGTGGCCAGCATGCTGCAGCCCGAGAGCCCAGTCTACCACCTGGTTTTGTACAGTCAGCGAGTTTGAGAGGGAAAGCATGGGAGCCGGAGGCCAGCTGGGTGCTCCCTCCCTCAGTTCTCCTCTTGGATTCTGGTGTCTGCCTCTTCTGGCACCACACTGTGCTTGGAATCTCAGACTGTGAGTCAGTGATCCACCTGAGACAACCTTGCCCTCCAGGAGGAGAGGAGAACAACCCCAGGATCTCGATATTGCTGGGACTGAGAGAGAAACTAAGCTGGATGGTCACAGTTCCTTGCATCTGCCCATCCCATTTTCCTGGCCTCTCCCTCTTGGGCAATTCATTTTTTCTTCCCCAAAATGTACCCAGCTGGTGGCAACTGGTACAATGTCTGTCACCTTGCAGTATGACCCACCTAAGGCAAATAGAGAGGGAAGAGTTTATATAAGTATGTTTTGTTTTATGTCCCACACAGCCTAAAATAAAAATTCTTTTTAAAAGAAATTTTTGCTACAGGGCACGTACGACTGCCAGAGAGACGGAAAGAGAGAAATCACCCCCCGCCCCCGGGGGATGGCCATGCCCCAGTCCCTTCTCTTCCATTCTCTTCTTGGGATTTTGGGCACTTGTGCACATGTGTGAGTGTCCGGAGTGAGTTTTATGCCACCAGGTCTGAGACTGGAACCACAGTTGACTATGTGGGAGTCCAGCATTGTTACTATTATGCCACCTGCTGGTCCCCAGCCTAAAATTTTTATTTATTTTAAATTGTTTTCTTTATTCATGGAAGAGCATATATACACAAGAGAGAGAGAGAGAGAAAGAGACACAGAGAGAGAACAGCAGAGCCCTTCCTGTGGGTTAGCTGCTGCCCAAGTGATGCAGCTCCTATGATTCAATTCCTTTTGCCTTTTTGCCTCTGGCCTGACATCATGCCAAAATGAAGTGGAGGATGGAAAATGAAAACCCCTAAGTGTTCTTACTTGTATCATCAAGTTAAAAAGAAGTTGGAAAATATTCAGAATCACCAACACTACTGAAGGAGAACAAAGTCAGAGGGTGGCCACTACCTGATTTCAAGACTTAACTATAAAGCTACAGTAATCAACAGTGTGATATTGTTGAAGGAATAGAACATAAATCAAGGGTGTAGAATTGAGAGCACAGAAATAGACCCACACAAATAAAGCCAATGGGTCTTTGGCAAAAGAACAAAGGCAATTCAATAAAGGAAGGGCTGTCTTTTCAACAACGATGCTATAACCACTGGATAGCCGCATGTCTAGAATTGAATCTAGAAACTGGTTTTACAGTTCCACAAAAAATTATTGCAAAATCGATCATTGACTGAAGCATAGAACTAAAACTCCTAGGAGACAACATAGGAGAAATGTAGGTGATCCTGGATTTTGGATGACTTCTTAGATAAAACACCAAAGGTGTGATCCATGAAAGAAAAAAAAAAACACTAAGTTAAACCTCATTAAAATGAAAAACTACTACTTTGTGGAAGACATTGTTAAGAATAAAAACACATGCCATGGAGTGGAAGAAAATATTGACAAAACATATGTCTGACAAGGTCTGGTATCTAATATACGAAGAATTTATAAAACTCAACAATAAGGAAACAAACAGCCAATTAAATATGAACAGACACCTTATCAAAGAAGGTGGGAAATAAACAAATGAAAATATGTTCAACTGAAAATTGTTGCGCAACTGGTAGAATGGCTAAAATCCAAGACGCTGACACCACCACATGTCGCTAAGGATGTGGAACAGCAAGATCTCTCTCTCATAGTTGCTGGGAATAGAAAATGGAAGTTTGAATGACAGCATGGCAGTATCTTAGAAAATGAAATGTACTGTTACCATACAGTCCGATAATCAGGACTCTGGTAATTACCAAATACACTTAAAACTGTACCTACACAAAAGCCTGCACACAAATGTTCAGGGTAGCTTTATTAATTATTGATAAAACTTGGAAGCAATCAAGATGTCCTTCAACAGAAGAATGGATTAAAAGTACAAAAACTGGGACCAGCAGTTAGTGTAATGGCTATGTCGCTGAACTCTCATGTAATCGACTGTGGTTGGAGTCTCGGACCCGGCGGCTTAAACTCATGCTGGGCATGAGTGCATGCATGCCCAAGGTCCCGAGAGGAGAATGGAGGAGAAGGGATTACAGTGTGGCCATAATCACCCCTGGGGGGTGATTTCTTGCTGTCTGTCTCTCTGTCTCTCTCTGTCTTTCTGGCAAGTGCACGCGCCCTATAGCAAAAACCTCTCAAAACAAAAACAAAAACAAAGTACAAAAACTATGGTATATATATTTCACCAGTAAAGACAAATGAACTACTAAAGACTTTAAAGACATGGAGGACCCTTAAATACATGTAGTAAGTAAAAGAAGCCAACACAAAAGACAGTATACTGTATAATTTGAACTTACAATTTTCTGGGAAGGACTACATTATGGAGATGGTGAATACATCAGTGTTGCCAAGGACCTGGTGAGAGGAAGGGAGAAATAAATAGGTATAGCACAGAGGATTTTTAGGGTAGTGAAACTATTCCTTTCTTCCCTTCCTCTCCCAAGGGAGCCTGTATTCACCAGAGACATAGAGTCAAGGAAAGGGAGAAGGTGAAAGAAAGGGAAAGGGAGAAAGCACCCCCTAATTTGGCTTGGTCATATCTCAGTCTCTTTTCCATTTCCCATTCTGTCAGGATCTGGAGCATGCATACATATGTACTGGCAT